TTTGGAAGCTGAGAAGTCTAAGGTCAAAGTACTGGTGGATTCAATTTCTAGTGAGGGTCCTCCTTCCTGGCTGCAGACAACTGCTTTCTTACTGAGACCTCACATGGTAGGAGGAAAGAGAGCATGCTCTGGTGTTGTTTTCTTCTTGTAAAGACATTGATCCTATCATGGAGGGATCAATGTCCTCATGACCTCATATAAACCTAATTACCTACCAAATACTCTACCTCCAGGGTTAGGGCTTCATCATATTAATTAGGGGCATTGGGGGAGAAACACTTAGTTCAAAACAGTATTTAACCTTTCTAAGCCTCAATTTTATTATTTTTAAAAATAGAAATTATACTTACCTCCAAGGTGGTTCTGAGATAAAAATGCTTGTATAAGCTAAAGAATTCAGTACATAGTAAGATCTCAAAAAAAGTAGTTGCTGCTACTCTGATGATTGTTAACTTTATCATATTTCAGAGATGTGCTAGAAGTATGTTTAGTATTTGTTGCAAGACTGGACTGGATAAATTCTTACAGTTCTAAGAATCAGTAAATGCATTTTAATGTTTTTCTTTGTGCTTGCGAGCCTGAAAATAAGGATGCTGTTGTATGACATCCTTCAGTTCCACAGTACTCTTTCTGTGTGGGCATCTTTATATCAGTCTGCTTTCTGATTATGTAGTGTCTGCTTTTTCTCCAAATTTTCATCTCTCTGCATCCTTCTCCCTTGGTCTGTGTCACTCTCTGTTCTTGTATTCATGTTCCCTTCTCTTCCACTTATTTTTCTCATCATTCACTGTAAAATATGATGAATAGTTTACAGTATATTTTACTTTGCTATATTTTTTAATCTTTGTTTTATTTTGAAAGCTTATTTTACTTGGTTACCTAATCATTTATCTTTTCTGTTTTCCCAGACTATGACCAGGACAGGCTGGTGTCAGAGACCTGACTTTGTCCTCACTGGGTTTTATTATTGCTAGAGCTGGGTTGGGCAGGTAGGAATAAAGTTTTAAGGTCCTAGGTTCTGCTTAAAGAGGAAGCTGTTTGCCCTGGCTGGTTTGGCTCAGCAGTTAGAGTGTCAGGAGTTTCAGGTTCCTAGTCAGAGGCAATCCCTGGCCCTGGTTGGGGGTCATACAGGAGGTAACCAATTGATGTGTCTCTCTCACATCGATGCTTCTCTCTCTTTCTCTCTCTCTTTTTCTCCCTCCCTCCCTTCCATTCTATCTGAAAATCAATGGGAAAATATCCTAGGGTGGGGATTAACAAAAAAAAGAAAAAAGAAAAAAAAGAGGAAGCTGTTTAAGGTATCATGCGACCAACTGCTTTTCTCCCCCAAGCCTGTTTAGGTTCTCCTAGCACTGTTGTGCCCCTCATTCTCAGGGTATAGTGAATGTTAAAGCATCAGGCCTCCCTTTAATTTTGTTTTCCCAGCCTTCATAACATAAACAGAATTGTTTTTATTGCTGTCAATTGAAAAATCAGTCAATTAACAGGCTATTTTTCTACATTTAGCAACTAGCACTTATATAACAAATAGGCTTTCTTGTATAACAGCACATCCTTCAACCATGGTAATTACAATCATGAATAGATTTAGTTACACTTAATTATGGATTCTATACTCTACTTGATATAAGCTTATTATACATTTAATTTATAAGACTTGTTTATGGCTCAATGAAGATGCATAAAAATGATCACCGTCGGTTTCTTTTTTAAAAAGCATATTTAATTAGTTATGAATTTTTAAAAAAATTGGTAACAAAATTCATTTTAAAATTGCCACCATCAGTCAAGCAATAATACAAAGATTGACTTACTTGAGTGCTGTTTGTTTAATTAATGTATGTACCAGGAAAGGCAAAAAGCATGACGTGAACATATATTACTTACAGAATATTAAAATTCTGATGGACTGTTTTAGATTGCTGAAAATACTTCTGGTAAAAGTGAAAAAATGAACTGCACAAGACAAAATTTTATTTCACTTCTGTTTTTGGAGACATTCTTAACATATAAAACTTATACACTGTGACCCCCCCAAATAAGGCACAGACAAGATGTTTATTCTCTTTTTCTCTAAATTGGTTGTACTCTTTAATGAAACAAAATTTAATGAGATATTTATATGACAAATCACCGGAAAAGATGTTCAACATCATTAGCCATTAGAGAAATGCAAATTAAAACCAGTATCACTACATACCTGTCGTCATGGCTAAAATAAAATATAGTAACAATTGCTGGCCAAGGATGCAGAGAAACTGCATCTCTCAAACATTGCTGGTGGGAATATAAAGTGGTACAGCAACTCTGATGGCAGTGTCTTTAAAAACTAAGTATGCAATTCCCATTCAACCCAGCAGCCACATTCCAGGTGTTTACCCCAGTCAATTGAAAACCTATTTTCATGTGAAAACCTGTATGGGAATGCTTATAGCAGTTTTCTTTGTAATAGTCAAAAACTTAAAATAGCTTAGCTGTTCCTCAACAGGTGAATGGTTGAACAAGATATGGTACATCCATACCATGGAATACTACTTCACAATAAAAAGGAACAAACTATTCATACATGCAGCAACCTGGATCTCCATAGAAATGTGAGTGGAAAAGGCAGTCTCAAAAGGTTATAAACTATGTGATTCCATTTATTTAACCTCATTAAAAATGACAAAAATCACAGAAATTAACATATTAGTGGTTGGTTGGCAGAGATTAAGGAGGGAGTGAGAGTGGGAGGGAAGTAGATGTGTGTGGCTATAAAAGACCAATAGGATGGTTCTTTGTGATGATGGAAAAGTTTAGAATCAATGTTGATATCCTGATTGTGATACTACACTAAAATTTTGCAAGATGTTAACCATTGGGGGAAACTGGTAAAGAGTACATGGGATAGTTTTGTATTATTTCTTGCAACTAACTACATGCATGTGAATCTACACTTATCTCCAAAAAGATTAATTTAAAAATATATGTTATAATATGAATATTCTGATGAAACACTATTTCCTCTCCACACGTGTTTCTTAATCTTTTAGTCTTATTTATTGATGGTTCATTTGATCATTCTTTTATTTATTCCAGAAATAATTACTCTAAAACCATGTCATCACCAACTTGTAACTGTTTTAGAATTTACCACAGAGCGGACACTACGTTGTTTGATTATTAGTAGTTAAGTTCTGCAGCTAGTTTACATGACTTAAATGTACCTTCTGTAGGTATACTTGGGGGCCTTGGTATCATTAGCTTTAAAATATTCAAAAACTTTTCCAGGGTAAATGTATTGTGATTGTACTTTTTGGTGTAAAACTGATAAATCTTGATTACACACAAGAGCAGAAAAACATAATCAGACACTGCCAGCAGACACTTGCTCACCTTTAATTTTTTTTTCTTTTTTTTTAATCCTCACCCAAGGATATTTTTCCCTTTATTTTCAGACAGAGTGGGAGGGAGAGAGCGAAAGAGAGAAACATCACGTTGATTGGTTGCCTCCCGCACGACCCCAACCAGGGCCAGGGACCGAACTGCAAACAAGGTACATGCCCTTGACCGAAATCGAACCTGCAACCCTTTGGTCTACTGGCTGATGCTCTAACCACTGAGCAAAACTGGCCAGGGCAATACTTGCTCACCTTTAAAGAGTAGGGTGAGTTTCTCTACAGGCAGATGTCCTGGCAGGCCCCTACGTTTTCCCAGGGGATGGCATTTTTTCTCCCAGTTCAACTTTGGACTTATCTGACATCACAGAATGTGATCTGGAAACTTTTCTGAGTATGTAACATTGAGCTCAAGGCACCTCACACATCTGGGTTTAGGGGGACAAACTGTACTTATGATAAGTAACCGGTAGAATCATTTCTCAGTTTTCTGGTTTGGTGAAAGTCAGCTTCTGAATTAGCCAGAGCTGTAGAAGGCTCTGTTGTTTAGTCTGCAACCTTCCCATCCCCAAGAGAATACTTTTTGCTGAATTGTGCTTTGACATAGTACCGGGGGTGTCAGTGTCTAATGAATGAAATGTGATATTCAATAATTTGACAATCTTAGGACTAGAAGGGGGCTATTTTTTTCCTAATTAGAGGAAGAGTTGTGGGGGGTGCCAGGGAGACTTCCACATTTGCCCTCACAGCATTCTGTATTGTGGGCACCCTATTTTGTGGTCAGATAAAGCCAGCCATAATTGCAGCTGCAGCAGATATGGGGCGCAGAGACAGAAATCATTTCCTGTTGGCCCTGTAGACCTAGTCAGGTGCACATATCTCCTTCTTTGACCCTTTTTGGGGGATTCCTTGCAGCGTGGTGATGCTGATTTGAATAGTGAATTGCGGCTGAAAAACAAGATTAAAACCCTGTTTTTGGCTTTGAACTTTGTGGAAAGTGAATGTTTGTTCCAGTGAGTTGTGCTATAGCATTGAAGGGATTTTCCCTAGAAGTAATATTATAAATCAGGTTAGACCCAATCTAGCTCACTAGAGTTTATTTAATCTAGCATCTGTCTGAACCACAATATTCCATTAATAGTCTTATAGAAAATGTAGCTCTCACTTTTTCATCTTTGCTGAAAGGGGATGATCTGTGGTCATTTTTTTCTACGTGTCTGCTATGGGCAGAGTGAATACAATAGCCACGAGAACCCAAGAGTCTTGGATGGAAGGGCAATGGTGGTGGTCTGGGTTCTTTGGTGGTTCTGTGCAGATTATTTGCAAAAAAATCTCTAATGGTATCTGACACTATCCTTGATAATGGGAAAAGAAACGGAACTTATGCATACCTCAGATACAGAGGAGGACAGCCTAGGATTGTCTGTGTATGGAAATGTGTAGAAACAGTGGTAGCATGACACTATGGGTTCAAAATCATCAAGGTTACTAATGATACATAATCTGGTGTACAAATAAGCAAGGTAATTTTAGTCACTTTAGTTTTTTCTTTGTCATTTGACGTTAGATCCACAAATTCATTGTTAATATCCTATTTAATTTCTTTTTTCTTGTCTTTTGTAGTCTCAAACCATGAATTATGTGGGACAGCTGGCCGGGCAGGTGATTGTCACTGTGAAGGAGCTCTACAAGGGTATTAACCAAGCCACCTTGTCTGGGTGCATCGATGTCATTGTAGTGCGACAGCAGGATGGCACCTATCAGTGTTCACCTTTTCATGTTCGATTTGGGAAGCTGGGAGTCCTGAGATCCAAAGAGAAAGTGGTGAGTGCAGGGTACAGCCTGTTCTCCAGGAGGTGAAAAGTTAGATGACAGCAAGGAGTAAATCCTAAATCCTTACCATGAGGTCTCTGGGCCTTTTATTTTAAATCTGTATGATGTTAAAGACAATGGTATGAGAACTCAACATTAATTGCTTTTCGAAGTTGCTTCTAAATTCAAAAAGCCCTGCTATAGGAAGTCTCTCCAAGGGAAATCTCCCTATATTGTTTAGACTGAAAATTATTTTGCTAATCCTATGTGTTGCAGCTCAGAAGGGCAAAACAGAGAAAACTAGAGTTATAAATGGGGATGTTAGGTTTATATTTAGAAGAAGTTCCTTTACTTTAGACAGCATTTAAAAATATTTAGAGTAATGCCTTTGTAACAGTTCTAAATGGAATAGATTGATTTAATTAATGCTGAATTTATCTGTTTGTTTCGACAGAGCTGTGAAATCTTATTTATAATCTAAATTTTGTTGATACAGGATTTGTCTCCAATCTGATTGAAATGCAAACCTCCAGGTCATAGGCTGCTTGACTTTTATTGATTTTTAAGGAAGATTAATTTAAAAAGAATGTATTTGGCCCTGGCCGGTTTGGCTCAGCGGTTGGAGCGTCGGCCTGTGGTCCGGAGAGATCTGGATTTGGTTCCAAGGGCACGTACCTCAGTTGCGGTTTATCCCCAGCCCTGGTTGGGTCGTGTGGGTAGCAACCACTTGATGTGTCCCTTTCACATCGATGTTTCTCTCTCTTTCTCTCTCTCTCTCCCACTTTATCTGAACAAAATATAAAAAAAAAAAAAGTCATCGGGTGAGGATAAAAAGAATGTATTTATATTGGCTTTTCTTTCTCCTACATTCTCTTACCTTCAAGTAATGGAGCACAACTGTAAGGTTTGTTACTGCATCTGATGTCAATCTAGTCATAAAACTAGTAATAAAACTTTGCAAGTACATAGTATTTACCTTTCTACCCCTGACCCACAGTATATATCTAAACAATATAGAGAGATTTTTGTCCCAATTTTAAAGCATCCTTTGGAAACCAAAAGCAGTTGCATTTTAGTTAGTAACTTTGAAACTTTCCATTGCAAAACACTGTTTAACCACATTTAACTTCTCTGGAATTTTTCTGTGTCTGGTACCACTAAGCTGCAGGACTTTCAAATTATATCTGCTTTGGGAGAATCAGCAGCAAATTGTTTATGCATTGAAACTTGCCATTAGTTGTGCAAGGATCTATTTGTAAAACAGCTTCTAATGCTTTATTTATTTATTTCTGCTGTGATCTGGGTTTTTTAATTATCAGATTGGATAAGTCTTCTGGCCTTTCAAAACTAAACTGATGTTTTTTAAGCATTTGTACACCTGCAAATGGTGACTGGACAGATAACATCTTTCTGCATGCTGTATTCCTCCAATTAAGAAAGTAATACAGTCTGGTCGGTGTGGCTCATTGGTTGAGGGTCGACCCATGCACCAAGAGGTCGCCAGTTTGATTCCCGGTCAGGGCACATGCCCAGATTGCAGGCTGATCCCCAGTGCGGGGGGGGGGGGGGGGGGGGGGGGGCGGGCGGGAGGCAGGCGGGAGGCGGCCATCGATGTTCTCTCTCATTGATGTTTTTATCTTTCTCTCCCTCTCCCTTTCTCTCTAAAATTAATAAAGGGGAAAAAAAGGAAAGTTTCTGTACAAGATTATACAAATCATTGTGTTATATTGTCAAACCCTTGGATTTTAATAGAAGGCTATCCATGAGACACAAGACAAGAAAAAATTCTTCCCTTCCATTCCTTCCCTTGGTATCCCAGAAACTCAAAAGATATGTTTAGGAGGAAATTTGGCTGTTTGACCAAAACATGGCTTTCCAGTAACCATAAAACCATGTCTTCCTTGAGATTACTTGGTGATTTAGGTTAACTATTTGTCTTATTTTTAGGTCAGTTTGGATTAGGGAAGGCAATTTGTATCAATTTTAAACTAAGACCCAATTTTCAAATATGAAGTGAATTTGAAGTCATAATGACCTTAAAACCTCAGGTTAGAGAAATGCAGTATAATAATTTTCCCACTGCCACCCAGCTGGTGTGGCTCTGTGGTTGAGCATTGACCCATGCACTGGGAGGTCGGTTCGAATCCCTGTCAGGGTACATGCCCTGGTTGTGGGCCTGATCCTCATTGGGGGTGGTGGGGCAGGAGGCAGCGAATTGATGTTCTCTCTCATCGATGTTTCTGTCACTCTCTCCCTCTCCCTTCCTCAGTAAATAAAATCAGTAAAGAAAAAAATAAAATTTTTTTTCATGATAATTTTCCCACTGCCATTGGTATGTTCTTATTTGATAGAACATCAGTAGTCCTAGTATGTTTCATAACTCAGGAGTTTGATTTCAGAAGGTAAACCTCACTTCATATTTTAAAATACTATTTATATTGATTTAACAGAAAACTGATTGATTACTTATCAAAGTTAAATAACCCAGTGTATTAGGAAAGACAGTTTCCATTGGTGATGACAAAAATCCACCTCATACTAGCTTAAGCAGAAAGGGAATTTACTGGATTGCATAACTAAAGTACAGGGGCATTTGAATTTCAAGTCAGGGCTTTATTTAGAGTCTCTGAAGGTATTATCAGAACTTTCTCTCCCTCCTTCTCCTAACTCTGCTTCCCTTTGTGTATGTTCTAATACAAAATGTTCACCAGTACCTCCAGGCTTATTTTCCATTAACTCAGCAACTCCAGTGGAAAGAGAGCTTTCCCTTCCTACAGAAGTGTCAGGGTTTAGTCTGCCCGTCAGACTTGAATCACATATATCTTGGGGACCAGTCACTACAGCTAGGGGTGGAATATAATGATTGGCCTGGCTGGGATAACAGCCCCACCTCCACTGTCTGAAGCCACACCTGAAATAGATGGTCTGAAATTGAGTATGAATAGATCCCCACAGGACACAAGACCAAAAACAAGTGTCTGCTATAGCCAGTATTTCTCAGAAGTAAATCAGGTCTATTTCAACATCTCAGTCATATGTGTTGAGTAAAGTTAAGCCACGGTGTAGGAGTGTGGACGTATGGAAATGAGTGCTGTTTTAGCAACCAGTTTACTAGAAGTACTACATCAAAATGAGTGTCCTTCTTAAAATAATCACCTTGGGCCTGGCCAGTGTGGCTCAGTGGAATGAGTGTCATCTCATGAAGGTAGAGGTCGCAATTCGATTCCTGGTCAGGGCACATGCCCCGATTGCGGGCTCGATCCCCAGTGGGGAGTGTGCAGGAGGCAGCTGATCGATGTTTCTATCTCTTTCTTCCTTTCTCTCTAAAAAATCAATAAAACATATATATATATTTTTTTAAAAATAAAATAATCACCTTAGGAAAACATTTATTCCAACTTGGTGCTATCTCTCAAAATATTTTTAGTATTTTTTCTTTGTCACCTTAAGAGTTTATGGCATCCTCTTTTACGTGTCCTCGGTTGTTGGCACAATGTGATGTTAGGTTTAATTTTTAGAAAGAACCAAACTTCATTTCAGGTCAGATCAAGAGATTGAAATAAGTAGTCATATTCAGAAATGTCATACTTGATCCCTAAAACTAAGGGTTATAAAGGAGAGGATTCATTTTTCTAATATGGAGTAAAAACAGTTGATTTTACATCCTAAGGAAGCATTGTTTTATTTTCTCTGCCATGTTGGCTAATTGGATAACCTCCAAAGATGAAAATTTTGAAGGATAGTATTAATTGAAATCTGTTGTATTTTTATTAAAGATAAAATAACTTCAAATGTTTCATTTGTATTGTTTAACTTAAAGAATTTATACAAAAAAATCAAATTATTATTATTTTTTTAATCCTCACCCGAGGAATTTTTTTTTTTTTTTTACATTAATCTTTAGATAGAGCTGGAGGGAGAGAGGGAGAAAGAGAGAGAGAGAGAAACATTGATGTGAAAGACACATATCGATTGTTTGCCACCCGCATAACTCCCACCGGAAGCGGGGACGAACCACAACCAAGGTACATGCCCTTGGCTGGAATTGAACCCGGGACTCTCTGGTCCACAGGTCATGCTCTTACCACTGAGCCATACTGGCCAGAGCAACAAATGATTATTTTATATGTCCAACTTCTTGTTCAGGGGTGGGAACCTTTTTTCTGCCAAGGGCCATTTGGATATTTATAACATCATTCTCAGGGCATACATAATTATCAACTTAAAAATTAGCCTGCTAGCCCTGGCCAGTTTAACTCAGTGGTTACAGCATCCGCCTGCAAACCATAGAGTTGTGGGTTTGATTCCGGTCGGGGGCACATCCTCAGTTGCAGTTCCATCCCTGGCCCTGGTCGGGTTGTGTGGGAGGCAACCATTTGATATGTCTCTCTCACATTGATGTTTCTCTCTCTTCCCCTCCCTCCCACTCTATCTGAAAATCAATTGAAAAATATCCTCAGGTGAGGAGGATTAAAAAAAAAATTAGCCTATTCTGTTGGTCAGGCTAATTTGATGAGGTGTGTGATGTTAACTGGGTGTTGATTTCACAGGCCTTATATGGCCCTTGGGCCAGATGTTCCCCACCCATTTTAGTTGAATAAATTTAGTTAAATATTTATGTAAGTTGTCTTGAGAAATCTAAAATTTGGCATTATAGAGCGAATTTAGTTTTTCTCTATCTTTTGCTTCTAGTCTAGAAAAAATTACGTATTTCTTTACCGTTTCAGCTTTTACATAACTTTTTAAGTTAGAAAATAGTTTTCCTCTGATTGTAGAAGAAGCTGGTATTATTACAGCTGCTTTAGATAACTAGAAGCTTATGTGACTTCAATCAGTTTATTATGAAAAAAAATTTTAATTTTATCTGTAAGTACATTTTTTCTTAGCCTGGTAGTTTATTGCAGTACTTTGTTTTAAAAGAGTTAGATTTCGCCCTGGCCAGTTTGGCTCAGCGGTTAGAGCGTCGGCCTGCGGTCCCGAGAGACCCGGGTTCGGTTCCCGCTAAGGGCACG